TCTGCCTCCAGGTGCTTGCAAAACACCCAAAAGAGGGTGGGGTAGATGCTCAAAACCTGTTTATTAAATTGAATTGAAACAGAAACACTTGAAACAGATTCCATTCCTGCTTATTTCCTAACAGTGGTTAAAACTTGGTAACTTCAAGTTGACATGGATTTCAGAATTCAATGTAATTTCAATAATATTATAATAGAACAAACTCAGGGTTGCTAACATTTATTTTGCTAAGCGAGGCTACTTTAAAAACAACTACCGATAATTATCACCATCTTATTTTTAAAAGTACATTTTAACCTTATGTATACATGTTTGGAATAAAAATAGTCTTTTCTGAGAAGGAAGAGTTGGCAGACCACATCAATAAAAAATATATTCAAATGTTTTGGATATGGAAGTATTACAAGATAAACATGTTCAAGTATTACTTTGTATGTAATTGTTTCTTATTTCTCAATTCGGGGATCTGTATTCAATAGGGACATGGAATGTGGAGCCTGAGATGGTATTTTTCTGTTTCATGTTGATAAATAGAGACCACTCAGCAATTCTGCTCTATTAGGAAACTTTGAGGCAAACGGGGAGAAGCCAAGAAACGACAGCAGTCACGCCTCCAACTGCTGCTTTCCTTTTCCAAGCGAGGCAGAAAGAATGTAGGCCAAGCGTTGGGGCTAAAAGCCAGTCGTCGTGGAGCCGTCCAGGATTTATCTAGGAAGGGTGACATCTGCACTGCTCCAGCAGAGCCCGGGCACGGCATGCTTCTGAGGGCACACAGTTAAACACATGAGACACTCTCTCCAGCGCACAGGACCAAGGTGTGGTGCTGCCTGTGGGGCTGGCATTTGCCATTTTGTCAAGGTGGGGCTGCAATTGTGGCTTGCTCAGGACGGAAGGATGGTGGGCTCTTAAGTGATAGCAAGAGGGAAGCATGAGGCAGAAGGGGTGGTCTTTACTCTCCATCCTTTGCCTGAGATCCAGGAGATCTCATTCAGCGCCTAGTTCTGGTCCTCCATTTGCCACGTTTATGGAGCACTTATAGGTGATTCACCGCCCGAGGTTCTGGGGAAATGGTGAACAAAGGGCCAGAAGTCTCTGCTTCCTAGAGCTGACTAACTTAACTCCATAATGCTGGACAAGACATCCTGAGCCCATTTCTTTGTAAAATGGAGCGAGAATGTGGATCATGAAATGATCTGCTATATGAATGTAGTGTTATAACGTTGCTTTGTGTGAAAAGTTGGTTTGCTGAGCTAGGTAGTATCCTAGGGGCCAGGGATATAGAAATAACTAAAACAAAGCAGACAAACTCACGAGTAGGAATAAAAAGAGGCACTATATGCGAAGCTACCATGTTGAGTTATCCAGGAATCTGATATAAAGGTCACCCTATAAAGACAGAGATAGCCGGGTGCAGTGACTCACGCCTGTAATCCCAGCACTTTGGAATGCTAAGGCGGGCGGATCACCTAAGGTCAAGAGTTCGAGACCAGTCTGGCCAATATGGTGAAACCCCATCTCTACTAAAAATATAAAAAAAAATTAGCCAGGCGTAGTGGCGGGCGCCTGTAATCCCAGCTACTCAGGAGGCTGATACAGTAGAATCACTGGAACCTGGGAGGTAGAAGTTGGAATCAGCCGAGATTGCACCATTACACTTCAGCCTGGGCAACAAGAGTGAAACTCCATCTCAAAAAAATAATGAAAAAGACTATGCTTTTGGAGTCTTAACAGGGCTTGGCAGAGCAGCCAACCTGGTGCACTCTAGCCCTTGAGACTGACAAGCCCAAAGAGGGCTGGATTGAGGGAGAGAGGGAGGGACCTTCATGAGGGCAGTGGCTGACAGGTTCTCGGGCGATTACAGCAGCAGAGCACTAGCTGGCTCTGAAGGGAAACCATTGCCAGGCCCCTAACAGAGGCTTGTCTTTCTATGTACAGGAAAAGTTAAGAGGTGAGGCTTTGGGAGGAGCCCCCTTCTGTACTGTGGTGAAAATAAACAAGGCTGGGAGATAATTCAGGGGATGCTATCCCAGAGGGCCCCCTCCCTGCAGAGTGGGAAGAAGACAGAACTGGCCAGCCCCTCGAGGGAGTCAAGAAGGCTTCCTGAGTACGCGTGCCTGTCTCCATGCCCTGCCTCTCCAGACCTGAGTGCCTGCCCTCTGCTGTGACTCCCAGCCTCATTGGTCCCGTTGCGTGAACTCTGTTCCATCTCTCCTGCCCCTCAAACATTTATTCATCCAGTGTCAAGTGCCTACGCACCTTCCTACAGGGGCCAGGCACTACAGGATGAGGGGAAAGAATGGCAAGGTCAGCAGGAGCCTGTGGAGCCAGGCCCTCTAGCAGCACCGTTGAGGGCTAGGCAGGAGAGCATGCGCTGAGGCCGCAGGGAAGGGCTGCTGCACAGGGAAGCGTCCCTCCGCTCCGAGGCAGCTGCGGTGCTGGAGATGGAGCCCGTGTTCGCTTGCCGGGACCACATCTGCTTTTAGACTGGAAGCGGATCACTTCTTTGCCCTGGACCTGGAATGGGCATAACTGAGACCCAGGGAGCATTCCTGCAAGCTGGACACTGCTCTGGGAGAAGACCTCCATCCAGCCTCCTGACCCCAAGACCCCAGCAGTTGCCAGTGTCACTGCCCACAAAAGTATTTGCTTAGCCTGGGAGAGTCAGTCAGATGTGTGGTGGCCATGAAATCGATGTTGCTGGCTTTCTGTCAAACCTCCCTGCATTGGTCACCACCTCAAAGTTCCTTGGCTGCAACTGCACGCCACCTGAACCCAGGGACTGTTGAAACGCTGCAGGGGCCAGGCGCGGTGGTTCACACCTGGAATCCCAGCACTTTGGGAGGCTGAGGTGGGTGGATCACCTGAGGCCAGGAGTTGGAGACCATCCTGGCCAACATGGTGAAACCACGTCTCTACTAAAAACACAAAAATTAGCAGGGCGTGGTGGCATGCACCTGTAGTCACAGCTACTTGGGAGGCTGAGGCAGGAGAATTGCTTGAACCTGGGAGGCAGAGGTTGCAATGAACCAAGATCAAGCCACTGCATGCACTTCCAGTCGGGGTGATGGAGTGAGACTGTCTCAAAAAAAATAAAAATAAAAGTTGGGCACGGTGGCTGATGCCTGTAATCCCAGCACTTTGGGAGGACTTGAGGCGGGCGGATCACGACATAAGGAGATTGAGACCATCCTGGCTAACACAATGAAACCCCATCTCTACTAAAACTACAAAAAAATAGCCGGGCTTGATTGCACACGCCTATAGTCCCAGCTACTCAGGAGGCTGAGGCAGGAGAATAGCTTGCATCCGGGAGGCGGAGGTTGCAGTGAGCTGAGATTGTACCACTGCACTCCAGCCTGGGCAACAGGGCGAGACTCCGACTCCAAAAAAAAAAAAAAAGAGCTGCAGGGAAGAGTGGCTGAGTGGAGGCCAGTCGCTTCGTTGTGCCTCATCTGAACTCCCTGAAGGCTGCAGCAGGTCCCTAAGGCTTTCTGACCACATCCTCCACTCCCCTGCTGTTTCTAAGGGGTCTTTCCCAGGGCCACAGTGGTCCACAGCAGGCCCTGAGATCCTGAAGCAGGTTGGCTGCATGCAGTCCACGACCTGCAAGTAAAGGGGCTGAACTCTGAATGAGGCTTCCTGGTTCTCAGGCAGGGGATGGAGAGTAAGGACCACTCACTGTGCCGCATGCTTCCCACCTGCTTTCACTTAAGAGCCTGCCATTCTGCCACACCTGCGAGCTTCCCAAGCAAGGCACAAAATCCACAGCCCTACCCTGACAAAGTGGCCAATGCCAGCCCCTCCAGCAACAGGATGCCTTGGTCCTGTGTGCTGGAGAGAGAGTCTTACGTGTTTACTTGTGAGCCTGCACATACAAGCCATGTTCCTGCTCTGCTTGAGTGGTTGCAGGTGTCACCCTTCCCAGATAAGCCCCAATGGCTCCTTAATTGGTCATCAGCCTCTGGCACTTTGAGGTCTCTTCCTGGTCTCAAGATCCTCTGAACGACTGCCTCTATTACGCCTTGAGCCCGAGCCGCCTCCGGGCTTTTGCATTCAACTGCAACTGTGTCACTTTGCCCTTGCTGATTCAGTTTTGCACTTGATCTTCTGGCTGCACTGTGTGAGTCTGTTTTGTCTTCCTGCTGAGATAAAAAAAACTCAAGGCCGGGGACTCACTGACCAAATAACAGAGCAAGGCAGGCTTTTCAGGCATGCATCATCTGATTCTTATTAAAACCAACCCAATAGCTGGGCGCGGTGGCTCAAGCCTGTAATCCCAGCACATTGGGAGGCCGAGGCGGGTGGATCACGAGGTCAAGAGATCGAGACCATCCTGGTCAACAAGATGAAACCCCGTCTCTACTCAAAATACAAAAAATTAGCTGGGCATGGTGGCACATGCCTGTAATCCCAGCTACTCAGGAGGCTGAGGAAGGAGAATTGCCTGAACCCATGAGGCAGAGGTTGCGGTGAGCCGAGATCGCGCCATTGCACTCCAGCCTGGGTAACAAGAGCGAAACTCCGTCTCAAAAAAAAAAAAAAAAAAAAAAAAAAACCAACCCACTTCCAGGCACCACCCCCATCCTCATCAACAAGTTTATCAACAGGGTTGACTGACTCACAGGGAGGTGTGACCTCAGTGCTGGAAGGAAATGCCATCAGAAACCTCTATAGATAATTTCCTGAAAGGTCTCAAGTTTGGTTTTTTTGGGGAACTCCTCGAAGGAGAGTTGGATGGTAGGGGAAGGAGGAGGGGAGAGGGGGAGGAGCAGAACGGGAAGGAGTGCACACAGGAGAGGCACAGGGTGGGGACAAGGAAGCTACCACGGACTGTGAGCCCAGGGGCTTGAGAAGGCCCTTGGCACCCATCCAGGTCAGCTCCCACCCGTCGGTTGAAACCACCACCTGGAGCCTTTCCCCCTTTCTCAAGGCGTTCCCACCAGTTCTGCCCACCCGCTCTCCCTCACCATCTGTCTGCCTCCCAGGCCACGCTGTCCACACTGAGTGAGCCCACTACTTTATTCACTACTAGGAATAAGCCGGTACAAAACACATTTTTAGAAAATTCACTTGGAGATAAAAAATCTTGTCCCCACTCCTCCCCTAGTCCCACACATCTGTGCTTTTCTTCTTGAGTTAATTCAGCTTTGCCGAGCCTCCTGCAAGAGCTTGAGCAGGGGGTCGTCAGCCCTGAGGGCGAAGGTGAGCGTGCGCCGCTGGTAGTGCTTGGGGTCACACTCCAGGTTCTCGATCACCTCGGCCAGCAGGTGGGCGCGCTCCACGCCTGAGCCGGGGGCCTCGAAGCCCAGGGCGGTGAAGTGCACGTGCAGGTGGTAGTAGGAGGGCAGGTAGTGCAGGTACACTCGCAGGCGGTCTCCCGTCATCTGGTAGCGCTGCAGGATGACTTCCTGATGAGATAGGAACAGGCAGGCCAAGAGTCACCATGCTACCTGGGGGCCGGCACCATGTCCCCATCTAGACCCTTCTCCCATATGAATCCCGGGCTGGCCTGGGATAGCTCATAAAAACCCTCCAAACAGCTCTCTGCCTGCTGTCTGCTTCAGCTCCCTCTGTCTTCTAGTCTAGGAAATCCACAAGTACAGGTGGCAGCAGCAAAGCTGAGACTCTCTCCCACAAGAAGCAGGGAGCGGCCTCGATCAGCGTCCCCACCCCTAAGATGGATAAAACACTGACTTCCTCAAACAGTTGCTGCTGGGAATCTTGGAAGGCCCAGTGTCTACAGACAGGCCCCAGACTCCCAAGACTATGGGAATAATCTTTCATGATTTAGAAGCATTTAATCAGTCATGAAGTGGGTAGGAGGAAGCCTCATTCTCTCTTTTAGCATAGAACAGGGTGGAGGTTGGAAACAATGAAGATAGGGAGGGAGCTACCCTGAGGACTTGGTGAAAGCACAAGGACTGGGGAAGGGGTGTGGAGGGGCTGCTCCCACACAGACCTAGGCAAGTCTCAGTCGGCTCCCTGCAGAAGAAGAAAGCATTCACTTCGGCCCTGGCTCCCTTTGCCCTCTTCTACCTTGCTCAGGGGTGGGTCTTTTTCTACCAACCTCCACCTTCAGGAGCCTGCAAGGCATAGAATTAAGTGGAGACTCTCATCTCCATTGTGGGCAATCCCTGAGGTGGTCAGAGGTGAAGAGAAAAAGACTAGGGCAGGTGTCCCCAAAGTATGGCCAGCGGGCTGCATGTGGCCCCCTGAGGCCATTTATCCGGCCCCCGCCGCACTTCAGGAAGGGGCACCGCTTTCATTGGTGGTCAGTGAGAGGAGCACAGTATGTGGCGGCCCTCCAACGGTCTGAGGGACAGTGAACTGGCCCCCTGTGTAAAAAGTTTGGGGATGCCTGGACTAGGGCCTCACTGGGCTCAGTATACACCCCAGAATTGTGTTCTGCATTTGGAGCTCACCCCAGGATCCTCTGCAGCAGGGTGAGACCAGGGCCAAGGCACCTGAAGGCTTCCTGGAATAAGTGCGGCCTGCCTGCCAGGGTAGAGCTGTCTGAGCTGCTAGGGCAGGTCAAAGTGTTGGCCCAGCATCTCCCCAAGAGAAAGACACCATTGTCTGCCATTCGTAATATCCAGAGACTGCTTCAGGATATGAATAAGCCACCCCAAAAAGATAAAGGCAGCCAGAGGGGTGGTGCCATGGTGGGCAGGAGGGAAGATGGACTGGAGCCCAGCGGCAGGGGGAGGCTGGGTCTGGGCAGAGCCTTTCCTCCAGGTCTGCATTAACACCTCGAAGTGGCACTGGTCAAAAAGGGCAAACGTCTCTCCTGGCTGGGCATCGTTATGACTGCTGGCTCTGGCATGTCAGGCAGATCATCATATCATCACATCTCAGAGTGGGAAAAAGACTGAGACCCAGCCCCAAAGGAGGGTGGATTTAGAAGGGATCCATCTAGATCAGGCATCCCCAAACTATGGCCCGCGGTCCGCATGTGGCCCCCTGAGGCCATTTATCTGGCCCCCTGCCACACTTCAGGAAGGGGCACCTCTTTCATTGGTGGGCAGTGAGAGGAGCACAGTATGTGGTGGCCCTCCAACGGTCTGAGGGACAGTGAACTGGCCCCCTGTGTAAAAAGTTTGGGGACGCCTGATCTAGATAATGTGGTCCAGGGAGGTGAAGTAACCTGCCCCAGGCCACTCAGCTGTTTAGGGTCCAAATGTCAGGCCAGGACCACACCCAAGATTCTAGGCACCCGTCCCCCATCTTCCTGCTCCTGGGCTCCATTTAGAGCCCCTATAATTTCATTCAATTCAGCAAATATTCCAGAAAGAAAGTATCCCAGAGGCAGGAGAATTGCCTGAACCCAGGAGGTGGAGGTTGCGGTGAGCCGAGATCGCGCCATTGCACTCCAGCCTGGGTAACAAGAGCAAAACTCCGTCTCAAAAAAAAAAAAAAGAAAGTATCCCAGAACACCAGGTGCTAAAGAATTCAGTCTGTCCTGAGTCTAGACAGGGAGACACATGCATGCACACATATGGAAGTCATGCGCCCCTATTCCCAAGCAGCTCTGGCACGATGTGGCTGTCAGGGTTGTCATGAGAGACAGGTGATCCTTGAGTGGGAGGGGCCAGGACTTAAGGACCAGAGTCTATGGGGTGAGGGGTGGAAGTGCATCCTAGATGGAACCTGTGGAGAAAGGCTGAGGAAGGCGAGTGTGAGGGTGAGGAAATGTGGCTAAAAGCAGAGCTGGCGCGCCAGGCAGCACCAGGGATGTAGGGCCCTGCTCTTCAATCTGAAGAGCCTAATGGGGTCCCCGAGAGAAGTCTCTACAAGATGGACTCTGGGAAAGGTAAGGAAAGGGGCCCAGGGACACACTGGAATCTGAGTCTAACTTCTCTGGGCTTCCATGTGGTGTGGTGAAGCCACTCACCTGCCCCTGGTGGAGGATGTTCCTGAGCAGCGGCAGGTGCTCTGGAGTAAGGTCGCGTAGGGACCTGATACCCCGGCGATGGCAGATGGCAATCAAGTAGAGGTCATCGAGCTGCACAGAGAGTGAGGGGAGACCAGGCTCAGCAGGGAACAGAGCTGGGGAGGCTGCCAACCCTGGAGTTCTCACGTAAGCCAAGATGCATCCACCCGAGGCCTGCAGCGCCAGGAGAAACCCCGCAGCAGGACTGACCCGCAGCAGGACTGCTCTCAGGCAATGCGGGCAGCTGCAATCCCAGGCTTGTGGGATGGTCTAAAGAGCAGGCCCTCTGTGTCTGCTTCTTGCTAGAGAATACCCTGTGAGAGTTCTACATACTCACTCCCCAGAGCTACCAGGGACAGGGAGCCGAGAGGTTCAAGGAAGAGCAAGAGCAACTCTCTCCCTCAGAGTTTATGGTCTGATCGCACGTATGTAAGTAGCTCTACTGTAAGACACAAAATAATCCCAGCACAGGAAGAAGGAAAGTCTCTAGCTACCTGGAGCAACACAGGAAGGCCTCCTGGAAGAGAAGGCAGAGGATCGGTCTAGAAAAAGTGGTAGAATTTGGAGAAAGGATATGCAGGTAGAAGAAACAGAGCAAAGGCTTGGAGGCAACAATGTATAGGGTACAAATGTAGAGGGCATAGAATGTATATGTAAAAGGAGAGGAAGCAACTTGATTTGTCTGGAGTCAAGGCACGTGAAGGGGTGGAGTGGGGTGTGACGGCTGAAAAGGAAGCCTAGGGCCAGCTCGGCAGCACACACACCAGGGCAGTTAGCCTGTTTCTTTTCCCCTATCTCACAGGACACCTTCCTGATGTCCTTCCTGAGCACAGCCTGGCTGATGAAAACCTGAAAGTCACAACAGTGCAAAGAATCAAAGTCAAGATCTTGTGCCAGAGGGCAAATGAACTCTTCCTCTTGCCCAGAAAACCCCTGCTTACTTAAACCCTGACCTCGCCTGGTAATTACATCCATGCACAGGCAGGCCCCAGACACCAAGGCTCTGAGGGGCCAGGCGTGGGGAGAACCCAGCAGTGCCCTGCCCTGCAGTCTGAGCTACCAGATACCTTGTGGAGATAATTTCGGGACCATGACTCACCCAACCAAATTCCCTGGGGCCCCAAATTGAAAATTCAGGATGGGCTTTTCTACATTACTTCCTGATATCCAAATATGCCATGGTCTTTATATGCCATGAACATTTTTCCTGCCAGAGTTCTAGGAATCTGGGTTCTCTGCCTCAGACTTTCTGCAGATGAGCCCACAGGAAGCTCCCACGTGTAGCTGAGCTGCATGCACCGGGCCTCAATTTGCTCCTGTGTACTCTCTCATGGTCTGTGCCCAAGAAATGTACTCTCTCACTTTGGACTTAAGAATCCAAAGAGAAGCCCAGAAACAAAAGTGCTTGAACTTGGGTTTTAAAAGTGTGTGTGTGCGTGCAGGCGCATATGCTCATGAATGTCTGAGTGTGTGTGTTTTCAGCTGTTCTATGTGTCATTGTCATGGGACTCCCAAATAATAGTAACATTTGTTTTGGGTGATGTCTGCTAACAAATCACAAACATGACACTAACTTGCAACTCTCTCTCCACTGGCATAGAATGGGGCATGGAGCCTGGTGCTGGGTGTCAGACCGTGGTGTTAGGTGTCAGTTTACAGGCTGCATAAGGGAGGGAAAATAATCCATTCATTAGACATGACCCAAAATTTCCTGCTGGCAGCCAAAGGGCCTCCTGGCTCAGAGAAGTGATCTGAAAAAAGCTAGACCAGGGGCAAGAGAGGGCCTCAGGCTGGCGCCCCAGAAGGTGGCCCATCCGTCACTCTGGGAAGACAGATAGACACCATCAGTCTCTTTTTACAAGTCAAGACCGTAAAATCAAACTAATAGTTTCCTGGCAGGAAGAAAGAGAATTGCTGGAGCATTGGAGAGCCATCTTTTAACCTCTAGGGTGACTCAAAGGAAGAATTCCCTGGTCTGAGAACTTTAGATCAAAGAACTTAAATCATATGAACTGAAAATGTGTGTGTATCTATATACACATGTACATATGTTTATAAACCCAGTACAGAAAGGTTACCAGAGACAAAGAAATAGCAACGACAGTGGTTTTAGGGAAGGGAAAGGAAGGACTGTGGGGTGAGGGAACATACTTTCACTGCACATCCTCTGTTCTGTGTGCATTTTTGCCACATGTATGAACTAAACCTACAAGAAAATAAAAGAACACACAGGTGACTAAGAGAACAGAAGATGGGATGTTATAACCTCCTAAAGAGGCACCATCTCTAGCAAACAGACACCTGATAAATATTTGTTGAATGGATGAAAAAATGAATAATCTCTTGAATTCAGGGCCATCAGTTTGGAGACAGTAACTTCCAGGACCAGTGGCAGGAGGAGATTCAAGGTGATTAGGAAAGATCCTGAAAGCAAACACCAGGGTGTCTCCCTATCCCCAGCCCTTCCCTGGCCCAAAGACAAAGAACAGAAGCCCAGACATGGCCTGCCTTTCTGCTGGATGCATTGCCTAATTCCAAGAGAGCTATCAAATTCAGTGCTGTCACGAGTCAAAGATCTGACACAGTAAAATATGTCATCATCAAAAGTCAAGTAAGAATTAAAGCTGGGCGCAGAGGCTCATGCCTTGTAGTCCCAGCTATTCAGGTTGCTGAGGCGTGAGAATCACTTGAACCCGGGAGGCGGAGGTTGCAGTGAGCTGAGATCATGCCACTGCACTCCAGCCTGGGCAACAGAGTGAGACTTGATTTCAAAAAAAAAAAAGGATTAAGCGAAGGTTAAAAAGGACCACACCTGCATCACTATGAAGCAAAGCCTGACATTTAAGCTTGCCCTTTCATGACCCTTGAGGACAAGTAATTCCAGCCCTGTGGCTGGCAGCCAGAGTGCAGCTCCTAAAGCCTTTCCTGTCTTAAAGGTGACAGAGGGAGGGAGGTTCCACTGGCAGGTGCAGCACAGCCTGCCAGCACTGAGTCAGAAGGACAGCGGATTTCTGTTCTCTGCCATGGGCTCAAATGCATTCGGAGCTTCGGGGATAGAGATGGACAAGTCTATCTTTTGTTGTCCTTCCAAGGCCTGAAGACTGCGATCCCCTGGCAGGCTCTTCAGTCTGCAAGAGTCTCGTGTGGCAGAAGGTCCTCCTACCCTACGCCTCCACAGCCCTGCTGGGATTCTCATTAGTGGTGGGCCCCACTTCCTATGACCCAGGCTTTGACCCCGGATTTCCAGATGCAGGGCAGCCCCAGGGGACAGATGGGGGTTTGCAGAGCCACCACTCAGCCTGAGTCAGTAGGCCTTCAGGTCCTATCTCTTCAAACGCCTACAGAGCCCGTCCTGGCTCCCTCCCTCAAGGCCTGAAGGTGGCACAGGCAGAGAGAAGCTGCAGGGAAGAGGAGAGGGGATGCGGGTGACCCCTTAGCCTCTCACTACAGCAGCCCACATGAGGAAAGCCCTCTTCTTTGAACTTACTTGGCTCTAGGACATCATCGATCAATGCTGCAACTTTGGAAATTCCCTTCAAATTCTCTCCCACCCCTTGGGCCACATTTGGGAATTCCCACAAGCCTCCTGTCAAGAGACAAGTGATGCTCACATGGCTGTGTAACTCTGAGCCAAACTCCCATCTCTTTACCCCGAGTCAAAACTGAAGGCCTCATGGGCAGCCACAACTGAGGAGGCAGAGGGGGCGAGCCCTCGGAGGGACAGACGGGGTCCACCACAAGGCACCTTCTCTACGAGAGTCTCTCCACCCTGTGAGGGATGCAGAAACCAGACGGGCCCATCGAGAGCAGAATGGCCCATCTGAGCCTGGAGTATGCCGCAGGTGAAAGTGGAGGAGAGGGGAGGTGTGTCTGTTCCCAGCGCCCAAGCCTGCCTGCCTGCCTTGGCTTATTCAGGCCCCTCTCTTATTTTTTTGTTTTTTTGAGATGAAATTTCACTCTTGTTGCCCAGCCTGGAGTGCAATGGTGCAATCTCAGCTCACTGCAACCTCCACCTCCCAGGTTCAAGCGATTCTCCTGCCTTGGCCTCCTGAGTAGCTGGGATTACAGGCATGCACCACCACACCTGGCTAATTTTGTATTTTTAGTAGAGAAGTGGTTTCTCCATGTTGGTCAGGCTGGTCTTGAACTCCCGACCTCAGGTGATCCACCTGCCTCGGCCTCCCAAAGTGCTGGGATTACAGGCGTGAGCCACTGCGCCCGGCCACCTCTCTCCTGTTGCAGGCTGAGTACGGCCCAGTTCCAGACTGTGGTATGAACAGCACTCTCTGCAACACAGTGGCTCTGCCTATTGCTGACACTGTCAATAAAAGTTTCTGATACTCGGCCGGGCGCGGTGGCTCAAGCCTGTAATACCAGCACTTTGGGAGGCCAAGGCGGGTGGATCACGAGATCAAGAGATCGAGACCATCCTGGTCAACATAGTGAAACCTCGTCTCTACTAAAGATACAAAAAAAAAAAAAAAAAAATTAGCTGGGCATGGTGGCGCGTGCCTGTAATCCCAGCTACTCAGGAGGCTGAGGCAGGAGAATTGCCTGAACCCAGGAGGCGGAGGTTGTGGTGAGCCGAGATTGCGCCATTGCACTCCAGCCTGGGTAACAAGAGAGAAACTCCGTCTCAAAAAAAAAAAAAAAAAAAAAAGTTTCTGATACTCTCAGGGTATAAAAGAGGTGGTGATAGGTGATAACTCTGGCGGTGGGCTGGTCTGGGAGAGACAGGAAGGCCACAGGGAACTCGAAAGGGATACCTGTGAGGGAGGATGGATCCTCCCAAACCTGCTCCTTAGGAGGATGGGAGAAGCAGAGGTGCCTGGAAGCCAGGGCATGGGACCGAGGAGCTGAGTAGAAGTCTGGACTAAGCTACTCCACAGCTCGGGCTGAGGAGGAGATGCCTTGGGTTGGTCACCATGGTTCCTGCCTGCCAGTGCTTCAGAACAGGGGCCTGCCTGGATCTGCTGGTGTCAAGAACGGAGAAAATGTAAACACCCCACCTGAGGGCTCCAGGTGCAGCTGGAAGCACAGGTGGCTGCCCAGACCACTTGGCTGGTAAGGAATGGCCTATGTAGTCATGGGCGCAAACATCATCCTGTGTTACCTCTGGGTGGGAGGAGAGCCAGAAAGGGCTTTAAGCCGACCCATGAAAGCAAAAGCACTTACGTATCACAGGTATGCACCCGGTCCCCACAGAAAGCTCAGGCCAACCCTTGCTGGTTAATTATAATCTGCTTAGAGACAGGCCAGCATGAGAAAGAGGGCAATCAGAAGGACCAGCACTTGGAGCAGGGTGGCCAGAGACCAGGGCATTCCAGCCAGAAACCTTTACCTGCTGTTGGTTCCACTTGAGGTCAGGGATGAGGACAAACCCATCAGAGGGATCTGGGTTCTCAAAAACAATCCGGTCCGCTTCAGCCTTCTTGTCGAGAATGTTATACACCCACTGAAATGATGGGGAGAGAGATGGTTCACAAAACCCACTCCACTCATAACCCCTTGAGAGATACCCCACACTGCGCTAGGTACACCCCGTGCCCTCTGCAGGAGACAGGACTCAACCATAAAAGGCCACTAAGCTCAGAGGATCTACATCCAGGCTGCCCTGTCCCCAAGCATCTGTTCTTAGGGGTCCAGAAGGGATTTCCCCCTTTCCCACCCCAGCTGGCACTCAGCCATGAGTCATCACAAGGGTCTCTGTAGCTCAGACAGGGCCAGGCTCTTCCTGGTTAGCAGAGTGCACATGCTGTATGGCGGTCTCACCGGCCCCAGCTGCGTCTGCCCTCTATAGCAGTGACCCCCTCCACTGCCCACAGGACTCAGGGGAAGAGCTGCCTCCACAGATCCTATTTCACTCTATTCAGGACTATGGGGCAAAGAGAGGTAGGAGGCTGAGGGCACTGAGGTTTCCTTTTATGGAAGGGCTGGCTTCCCACCAGGGCAGTGAGAGCCTTTGCCTCTAGAAGCCCATGCGTGTGGGTTTCTTGCCATGCTGGGATTCTCATCAGCGGTGAGCTCAGCACCTCCACCCGCCTGGAGCTGGTGCAGATGCCAGTATATCCGCAGTCTCCGCTGACACAGGCCCCGCATGGCAAAGCAGAAATGAAAGCTATGTGGAGACATGGAGGCAGCGACCTCACCACAACCTTTCGGGGCTACCCAGGGCTCCTGACCCTTGGGTCACCCTTGGATCAGCTGCTGTCAGTAGCCTGCAGAAGACCCTTCCCAGGCCTGTGTGGACCCCAGGACATCACTTTACAGAGACAGTCCTGGAGGCCTGCCTGAGGTCAGGAGGCTGCAGGAGGTTGGCTGAGAAGGCCCCTGGGCTTACAAACCTCAAACCCCGGTACCCCCAGCTCTTCTCTACTTCCTCCCAGCTCTCAGGCCCTTTGTAGACATGAACTTATATAGGACAGTGAACTGTGATCTACATCCAAGGGAGAAACCTGCCGGGAAGCCAGAGAGGGGAATGGCTGAGGACACACTACTGCCCCTTCCTCCTCACGGTCAGAACAGTCTCCCAGCTCACTGACGTGGGAGAAGAAGCCACAGACACAAAGTGGGATGGGGAGGCCAGCGACCCGACACTACCAGGCAACCACAGTCCTCTTTCCACTCCCAGAAGTGCTGGACGGGTAGCATCACCAAAGGCCAGGGGCACGGGGACTGGCTTAGGGTCTGCACAGCCTCACACCTTGAGCCTGGAGGGCTGAACACACCGCTTTGCACCCTCGCTTCTCAGCTGGGATGGACGTGGAGGGAGCAGAGGGCAGCTGGGCCTTGGGGTCTCCTGCGACTCCCTACCTGCGGGAGGCATTTCAGCTCAGAGGGCCCCAAACCTGTGACAAGACCCACAGGCCGGTCACAATGTGGTCCATTCACAACAAAACACAGGCTGTTTCCCAGAAGTTGAATGGGGCCCCTTCCTGGGAGGGGTTTGGAGGACACCCGGTAGCCACTTCCTCAGGCAGCTCTGGCCCTGACCAGCACATGCACAGAAGTGTTTCCTCTCTGACCTGAAAGCTCCTGGGAATGTGCTGCCAGAGGAAAAAGCCAGCAGAAAAAAAGGGAGGGAGGGAGATGGCATGCCCTACAGAGAGCCCCAGCGTACCCATAAGCAGGCCTCCCCAGAGCCCATCCCTGACTCACAGAAAAGGGGTGTCTACCTCCAACTGTTATGAGAGAGAACGTGAGCAGGTTCTGAGCCCAAAGAGACCTGGTTTCATCTCCCAGCTGTCACTGGGTAAGCGACTGATGCCTCCTTTGTAAAATGGGGCTGATGATACCTACCTAAGGGTGGGGAATGTTTTCAGAGAGAACATGCACATGAAAGCGCCCAGCACAGCCAGCATAAGGGAGGCCCCAGTGAGTGGCAAACGTGGTGGGATGATATGCCCGAGGCTACGAGCCCGACTGGGGACAGGAAAAGAGGGAAAGGCGGTGACAGCAAAGGAGGTGGTGAGAGAGGAAATAGAAGCGAGGCTGGGGACGAGTGACTGCAGGAAGGACTGACGACCGTGGGAGCAGCTGCACTCTGCCTGGCACTGCTCTCAGTGTCAAGGCAACCCTAAGAGATGGTTGCTATCATTGCCCCCACTTTTTTATTTCAGACGGAGTCTTGCTCTGTTGCCCAGGCTGGAGTGCAGTGGCGCAATCTCAGCTCACTGCAAGCTCCGCCTCGCAGGTTCAAGCGATTCTCCTGCCTCGGCCTCCTGAGTAGCTGGGATTATAGGTACGTGCCACCACACCCGGCCAATTTTTGTATTTTTAGTAGAGATGGGGTTTTTGCCATGTTGGCCAGGCTGGTCTCGAACTTCTGACCTCAAGTGACCTGCCCGCCTTGGCCTCCCAAAGTGTTGGAATTACAGGCATGAGACACTGCACCTGGACATTGTCCGCATTTTGCAGGTGAGGAGAATGCAAGTGCAAGGAGGTTCATGCTGGGTCAGCCATTTCCAACCCTGAGAGTCTGGCTCCTGAGCCTGCGGCCTGGGCCAGGGTACATCCTGCCTCCTGGGAGAGGCCTCTGAGAGAGTGGCAGGGAGCTCCACCTGCAGGAAGTCTCAAGGCCAGAGGCTCAGAAAAGAAAGGGATGAAACTGAAAGAACGAAATTCACACAAACACAGAGGGCTATGTAATGGGGAGTGTCACCATCTGAAAGTATGCCCAAGAGACTTGGCTAGCCCTGCTGATAAACTGGTGGGCAGTGGGTGATGCCATCACCATTCTGCAACCCACCTGGCTGGACTTCTTTCCAGTAGGTGACACCGGCGGCTCCCTCCGTACCCTCTCTCCCACTTTGACCTCCCATGAGACATCCTGCTCCTTCCTCATCACCTCCTGCTCTCTGCTTCTGCCTGCTGCCTTGCACTTCCCCTCCAGCCATTCATGGCCTGGTCACGTGTCCCAGGTGTCTTAGCTCTGCACACTTCCCTGCCTGTTCCTCTGAACCGTTACCTGGAGTAGAGAATGGTGGCTACCATCCTGGCACCATTCTCTGCTGGAAATAATAGCAGGCACATGATACATAGCCCCTCTCAATGTCCACAACACCCAGGAGGGAGGGGCCATTAGTTACATTCTTCAGACAAGGAAACCGGGGCTCTGAAATTAAAAACAATGTCACATCATTCTAAGATGACAGACTAAGAATCCAGATACCAGGCTGAGGTTGAAGTCTAGCTGGGTGACTCACAAATAGACATTTGTAACTAGATAATCTCAAAGGCTACAGATCCAGACATCCCACTACAGTTTTCACTGGGAAGTCATAACTACCTCACATGTAAAGAGCCAGATAGTATCTCTGGTTTAGGGCATAGATGCTGAGACCAGACTGCCTGGCTTTGAGACCTGTCTCCAAAAGGGCTGCTGTGAAGAATAAATGAGATGTGAGGCCGGGTGCGGTGGCTCACACCTGTAATCCCAGCACTTGGGGAGGCCGAGGAGGGCAGATCATTTGAGGTTAGGAGTTCGAGACCAGCCTAGCCAACATGGTGAAACCGTGTCTCTACTAAAAATGCAAAAAATTAGCCCAATGTAGTGGCGGGTGCCTGTAATCCCAGCTACTTGGGAGGGGGGCAGGAGAATCATTTGAACCTGGGAGAAGGTTTCAGTGAGTCAAGATCGCACGATGGCAGTCCAGCTTGGACAAGAGTGAAACTCCATTTCAAAAATAAATAAGTAAATAAATACATAAATGAGGTGTGATGCACATAAATACTTAGAGAAGTTCTTGGTACTATGCATAGGAAGTGCTCAATAAATTCCAAACTGTCTTCCATGCAAACCTGCTCTTCTGTCTCTGTCCCCTATACTGGGTCATGAATTATCCTTCTATCTACTGATCACCCAAGCTTTTCCCTCCCCTCTCCCTGTCAACCAGTTGCGAAGCCCCATCCAGCCGTGTGAAGACCTACCTCTTAAACTGCTCCAGAGTCCTTTCCCACTGCCCCTTCCTTGGTTCAGACCCATACTGGTTTTTCCAGTCTTCCTGTTCTATGTTCACCCCCACTCCACCAACTAATCTGCAAATCAGACCATATCACCCACATGCTTAAAACCATTTCAGGCACCCTCACTGCCTATGGCAACTGTCCTCACATCTGATGGTAGAAATATCATAGAGAAGCCGGGCGCGGTGGCTCAAGCCTGTAATCCCAGCACTTTGGGAGGCCGAGGCGGGTGGATCACGAGGTCAAGAGATTGAGACCATACTGGTCAACATGGTGAAACCCCGTCTCTACTAAAAATACAAAAAATTAGCTGGACATGGTGGCGTGTGCCTGTAATCCCAGCCACTCAGGAGGCTGAGGCAGGAGAATTGCCTGAACCCAGGAGGCGGAGGTTGCGGTGAGCCGAGATTGCGCCATTGCACTCCAGCCTGGGTAACAAGAGCGAAACTCCGTCTCAAAAAAAAAAAAAAAAGAAAAGAAATATCATAGAGAAATATACATTTTTTTTTAATGAACATTTCCCAGCTTCACTCCCTGAAGAGTGAGATTCAGCAGATATGGAATAGTGCTCCATGCTGGGTATTTATAAGAATCCCCAGGCAATCCTGATGATAAGCAAGATTCAGGAACTCTGGGCCTCCCTGACCAAGTCCATGTGCCTCCGCCTGGCCCCTGCCTACCATCTCAGTGCTGTCTCCTCTGACCCTCCAGCAGCCCAAGCCTCAGTCACACCAAACTCCTTGCGGCTCCCCCACAGCATCAGATGATTCCAGCTCCGTGAGCCTCTGGACTTGCTCTCCCTCCCCTTGTGCACCTGGTAAACTTCTATTTGTCCTGCAAGACCCAACAGGAGGATCCTCTCCCTGTGAAGCCCCAACTGTCTGAGCTGGTCACTGTCCCTCTGCATTACCACGGTAGCTCGTCTAGGCACCAGAGTGCTTATCCCATTGTCACAATTGCCTGTCTACAAGTCTATTTTCCCTGCTAGACTGTGAGAACACTGTCTAGGTTTCATCATCTTGGTGACCCTCCAGAGCGTGGCATAGGACCAGGTCCACGGTCGGTGCCCAGTAAACATAATGACTGTTGCCAGTTAAGCTGAGTGCTTGTCAACTAGAAATAGCCAAGAAGGAATACATGAACGCACCTGTCAGTCAGGAGTTGGAAGAGTAGTGGAGTTTTCACTGTGCCCTTCTCTGAGTGGAACTGCATAATGGTATATAATAAGGAAGATGCACACCTGGGTGTGGTGGCTCACACCTGTAATCCTAGCACTTTGGGAGGCTGAGGCAGGTGGATTCCCTGAGCTGAGGAGTTCGAGGCCAGCCTGGGCAACATGGCAAAACCATATCTCTACTAAAAAGACAAAAAATTAGCCAGGCATCGTGGCATGCGCCTGTAATCCCAGCTACTTACACCAACCATATCAGGGCTTCCTTACTTGGATCTCAAGTTTGCACAACAAGCACAACAGAACAACTGTTCCAGGAGATTCCCCTAGGATCCTGAGCAGCAGAAACTCTAAGAAGGTGGAGACATAGTTCCTTTCCGCTTGAAAAACATAACAAGTGCAGAGTCTTTAAAAACCACCACCACCACCACCAACAAAAAAAGCCAGCTTGAGCTGCATGCACCCCAGGCAAACTGCTGCCCAGGGAGACCACGGCTGAACCAGGCTGGGGAAGAGGGCTGGGGGCACACAGCCTCCCAAAGAAATGCTGCTCCCGCAGGCCCTGCCAGCCCACATTCCTCACTCTTCTCAAGCGCAATTCACCTTGCAGTGCCCACACACAGCACACCCTGCCTTATTCTGGGCCAGGGAGGAGTAGCTGTGAGTTCCCCACATCACAACACCCTCACCACAGTGACCTGAATCTTGGGGAGAGTAAGTGAGAAATGCTCAAAGAGAACAACAGTGAGTGATAAAGAGAAGGAACAGTGTGAGAGTCAGTGAGTGGGCAAGAAACTGACTCATCAATAAGCATCAATCATATTTAACTCTGAGTACTCACATGGGCCCAGTTTCAGGCAGAGGCTCCAGTTGGCGCTGAGCCTAGGCCCAGGGAGGAGTCAGGATCTCAGAGCTAAATGGCCTTTAATTTGGCCTGGCCAGACACTGCCAGCTTGTGAATGGAGGCCCTGCACCAACCTCCTAGGGCCAATGGGGTCCTGCCTTCTGTTTGACAAATGCAAAGGGGAGTGGGTGAGGGAAGAGCTTTTTACTCCAAGCCTCAGCTTCTGCAGGCCCGTTTGCCACAAGTGAAACCAGGAATAAGAGTCTGGACTGGGTGGGACTAACTCAACATCAGTCTTTTACCCATTCATGGACCCGAAGCAAGGGCACAGTCATCCTGAGGCTGGATCAGGGCTACTGCAGAGCAGACACACATTCTTCCAATGGACTGGATTGCTTTGAGGTCCTCAGAAAGCCTCCATGACATGCCCAAGCACATCAGGTGGGACCAAGATCAGCATTGGTTCCTTCACCACCAGCCTTCTCTGACCATGCCATATAAAACAGCAACCCTTTTGGTCCCACTTACCCTGTCCATTTCTCTCCACAGCACTCATCATCTCACAGAGCATACAGATCCTAAGATACCTATGTAAAGTCATACATTGTATGACTGTGCACGGATGTAAACCTCACGAGGCGGGGATTCTGTTCGCCATACTCTCTACTATACCCCCACGCCCTCACCTAGCACAGTGCCTGGCCCCTAATAAAACTCCAATAGACACTTGTAAGAGGAGACACCAGCCACGGGAGTGGCGCTTTGCGCCTCAGACACATGGCCAGTCACCTGGATGCTGAGGCTCTGGGACTCCAGGTGGGGTAAAGTAATGTTCCTGTAGTCATCTCCCGTCTCTCGGATCAGACGCAGGTCCTGGCGCAGGTACTTCTGCAGGTGTTTCTCTGTGGCGGGGTAAACCACGGTCGTCTTTACATCTGCAACGACACAGCACAGTCCGTGATGGGGAAGCAATGCCCACTCTCTATGCCACAGGCACCATGGTAAGGAGAGAACTCCCGCCCTGGCTTTGATTCCCTGAGGGAAGCCAAAATCCAAGAGGTTCTCTGCACCCCAGATCCACTCCCACAGGGTGCCTCACACCACTGCATTCATGAGCGGAGCCACACTTGGAACCTGGAAAATACAAGGTTCTCACTTGTGGGTCACTGGGCCCCTCATCAGGCGAAACCCAGCTCTTCCTGCTTCATCTTCCAGGCACAGGAATGAGAGGTCCCTAACGCTTCTTGCATGCCAAATTTCTAGGTATGTGGCTTTCTGGACCCAAAGTTGAAAATGTGTTTTAAAGCCCAGTAGTCTCCTTAACAACAGGCAGTGCAGCAGTGCAGTGGTTACAGGCACAGACTCTGGAGCCAGACTGTCTGAGGTCAAGTCCTGGCTCTGCCTGCTCCTTACTATGAATGGGACCTTGGTCTCACCCAGAGCATGGTTCAGTTGTTTAACCTCTCGGTGCCCCTACTTCCTCATCTGCCAAATGAGGATAGTAAAAGCTCTTGTGTCATAAGACTGAGAGGATTAAGCAAGTCAATTACCTGTGAAGTTCTTAGAACAATGTCTGGCACATAGTAAACACATAAGTGCCGTGATATTTAATCCAGGGTTTCTCAACCTCAGCACCACTGACATTTTGGCCTGGATAATTCTCTGTTGCGGGGGCTGTCCTATGCATTGAAGGATGTTCAGCTGCATCCCTGGCCTCTGTTGGGATGTTAGTAGCACTCTCCCCAAGTTGCGACAACCCAAAATGTCTCCAGACATTGCCAAATTTTCCTGGAAGGAAAAACTGTCCCCAGGTGACAACCACAGTTTTAACTAGAAGGACATCTTGCAGTTTTCCTAAATAGACTCTAGGCTAGCATCCGGGTCCAACACCACCTGGTTTTAGTTAAACCCTTTCCCTTATTTTTAATACCATTTGGTACAATCATTGTCATTACTCCAACATTTACACATAGTGTTTAAACATAGATCTTAGGGGTAGGGAAAGAAAACGGTATTTCAAAATCAGTTTGGCTCTTTCTCAAAAGACCCATGATTCCCCTCTGACTTTCTTATCTGAGGTTTAGATAGGCTGTCCTAGGGAAACCCAAGAGAGAGCTAAAACCCAGCAGGGATATTTTACCACCATGAAGTCCTCACACTCATGCATCACAAAACCCAGCTAAGAACTACCAACCTAGATTTTCACATTTGGTCTGAGGTCACAGGTGGTTTTAACCTCATTTTCATACATCAGTGACGAGGGTGAGCTGGGACAAGAAGAGTCATCCAGTATCACACTGTGAAATGCAGCAGAGGTGAACCTGGAACGGAGGCCTTCTTACCCTAAAGCCAGCGCTCTGGACACCACAGGCTGCCTAATGGCTCCAGTTGTACTTCCAAAGCCCATTGGGGATGTACAAAGATGACATACCAGGCACATGACTTCTGTCCCATCAAACATCTCAGTCCATCAGCTCCGGGAGGCACAGCAGCACAGTGGGAAAACATGGGCGCTGGCCCTGGGCTGGCCACATGACTCTCCATACTGGCTGTGTACCCTGGGGCATGGCACTTAACGTCTTAGAGCCTTGGCTTCCTCACCTGTTAAAGGGTGCTCCATCAAATCTGCCTCACAGAGTTGTTCACATTAAATAAAACATGTCACCTAGATCACCAGAGGTGCTAAATAAATGTCACCCAATCCTGGGAATCCCTGGACCTGACCTTGAAAAGGAGGCACAAAAGCCTCCTCACAACCCTCTGTGGAGTAGCAAAAACTGTTCCTTGCTTCTCACTCTGTTCTCTTACAGCTCAGGGTCACAGGCCAGAGGCCAGTGGTCAGGCACACCAAGGTCTCAAGAGGCAGGAGACTGCTTGAAGTCGATTGAATGGCACCACCTTGACCCTTGCAGTGGACCTGAGAGAAATCCCTACAACTGCTGGGGAGCCTGGTGGATGAGAACAGAGATTTTGGATCCAGTCAGCCTGGGTGCAAGTCCTGGCTCTGCATGAGTTCTGTGTAACCTCAGGCAAGGGACTGACCACGTAGCTTCAGTCTCCTGACCTCTACAATCTGGGGTAATAACAGCACCTATCTTCCAGGTGTTGGGAGAATTAAATGAGTCAGTAGAAGGAAAGATTCAGGAAGTGCCTCACACAGAGAAGAGCTCTCCACAAATTAAGCCTAGTTTAATTCTCTCCACTGTTACCTCAGTTGCCTGGGTTGGGCAGTAGAGCTCCCTGAGAGTGGGGGTGAGATGGGCGGAGCACAGAGGCAGAGTGGGTGCTGGAGAGTGGCCTGGCTCTGTGGGCAGGGTCACTTAGCCGGGCTCCCAGCCTGGGGCTCCTGGCTGCTCCAGATCAGAAAGCCACTGGGCCTGTGAGCATGCCCTGGTCTGCCAAGGCCTGTGTGAGACCCGCCCAGCCATCCAGGGCGCAGGGAAACCAGCGTCTGACCGAGCCGGCCCCTCCCACTGCCCCTCAGCAGCAAGAGCACCCAGGAGGCACTTATTTTCCAACCGCTCACTTCCTGCCATCCTCCTGCCTTTCCTGTGCAATGGGAACCCCATTGCAGCACTCTCTGAGCTCCCCACTTTCCCTAGAGACCCGACTTCCCTCAGATCACCACCAGAAGCCCCAGTCAGGGTCTCACTGAGGTGAGGGCTGCCACCCTTAAACCGTCCCCTGCTCCACAGCTCACATGCTTCCTGCTGTGGTCCACAAGGCTGCTGGTCACCTCGCCCTGGCCCTCTCTCCCACCTGAGGCCTCTGCTCCAGCCATCCTGGCTCCTCCCTGACCCATTAACTCATGTCAGCCACCGGCTCCTCTCTGGGCCGGCACTGGCTGTTCCCACTGCCAGACAGTCGCCTACCTGAGGAGCCACACTGGTCCTTGCTTCATCCAGGGACATTTTACCACCATGAGGTCGTCATACTCACTCATACATTGCAAAACCCATTTGGTCTGAGGTCATAGGTGGTTTTAACCCCACTTTCATACATCAGTGAAGAGGGTGGGTTGGGACTCAAAAGAGTCATCCAGTATCACACTGGGAAATGGGCAGAGGCGAGCCTCCTTCATGCAGGCCTCTGCTCTGAGGCTGGCTCCTTGGGCTCGGTCAGCCCTGGTAAAACAGCAGCCTTAACCTTACAGCCCTGTCTCCTCCACTGGCCTGCTTCCTCTTCGCTTCTCGCTCTCCCACAGCAGCATGTGGATTGACCGTCTGACTCCTCGACTAGTATGCAGCTTCCACAACAGGGATTTGGTCTGGTTAAAAAACAAAACAAAACAAAAACAAAAAAACTTTGTCCCCAGCACCTAGAATAGTGCCTGGCACAGGGTAAGCACTCAATAAATACTTATTAAACAAATGAATAAAGGAATCTGGCCTTTTAGACTTAAAACCCAGAAAGAGCAAAACCTCCTTGATAAAAATCAATATATTTCCCAATGCTAAGTTTACTCTGGCAGCCAAAAACACCAACCCTGGTATTTACCTCCATGCCCATGGAGATGCTGACCTGCAGCTGAACTTCAGGAGGAGTTTGGTCAAGAGTCAACGCTCAGTAAACAATCCCATCAGGTGAAAACATGTTGGGAAACAGGATACACATGCATAGTCTCAAAAATATCACCCATAGATTACTTATTAATTACAGAGGGAACACGAGTTGCTTTGTAGGAGCAAGAGGCTACTGGCTACTGCCTCAACCAGGCCATGGGAGTCACCGTCACCCCTGCCAGGCATACTGACATCATGTGCCTCCGGATCACGTGGAATTCTGGCCAAAAACGCATAACCTGAGTCCAGTCACGAGGAATATCAGCAAACCAAAATCCATGGGCATTCAACAAAACAAGTGGCTTTATAACACTACAAAAACGTCCGAGTTAGAAAAGACAAAGAAAGGCTGAGGAATTGCTCCAGATGAAGGGACATTGAAGAGGTGGGCCTAAAGGGGTTGGATTCGTTCCAGGGTTGGGATCCAGGGAGCGCCTGCGCTAAAGCGAGTGGGACAACTTAATAATGGACTCTGTGTCACAGGACTCTCATACAAATGGGAAATTTCCTGAAATTGATCATTTTACCCTTGTTTATATCCATCATTATCATTATTCTATGTATATGTGGGGGGAGAAAAAGCAAATGCAGCAAATGTAAGGTGAAGTGCTTTTATAAGGGAGTTCTGTGTTCTATTCTCACAACTTTTCTGCAGGATTGGAATTTTTTTTAGTAGGAAATATTTTAAAGGTGTCAATACCTTTTGGAACCTCAGCACTTCACACGATTCTAACCTACCACGCCTATGAACTCATTTACTCCTCATGACCAACATGAATGTGTAGTATTATGATTGTACTTTATATATGAGGAAACTAAGGCACAGGGCCTGGAGTGGCCCCCAAGGGCCCACAGCCCTGTGTGGTGCTCAGGGCTGGGCCCCACAGCAGCAGCCCCATCTGCCCACTGCAGGTCAGCAGATGAGGCCCAGTGGCCTTGCCAGGCTCCCCCTGCCCCATGCTGTCTGGCAAGTGGACTGACGGCACCACCTGCTGAGGATGAACGATACCAGGCAACGCCCCTGCCCAGAGCGTTTCCTGGTGGCCAGAGAACTGACCAACTCCCCAGTCCCACCCTCCTGCTGGCATTCTCAACAGACAGCCTGGGATAACTGTAAACCCTCCAAAACCTATCCCTGGAAAATGTCCACAGTATATTAAGAGCACCTCCAACACTCCTTACAGAGTTCCCTGTCATGATTTTTAATATTGTGTCTTTTTGTGTTTTTTTTTTTTTAAATTTAAATTATACTTGCACTTATGTCAAAGAGTCAAATGAAGCTTGTTTTCAAAAACAATTTTCTGTTCCTCCCTGCTCCCAATTTCCAGCTCCTTCAAAGGGACCACTTTGAACTCTTCTGGCCACCTCTTAGG